GAGAAGAAGCTCTAGAAAAGTGGGGTGGGCCTAGAGGTGGAGATAAGGTTTCCCATGGGGGCAACAATATTGGGAATGGGGATGGTGGTGGGGTTAATATCAGCACCGGGGGTGGTGACATTGGGGACATCGGGGTTGGAGTTGGGGGTGGGAGTGGCTGTGACCCGGCGGCTTGTGACGCTAAAGTAAGATTCGTGGATATCAGTAGAGGTTATATGATACTGACATACTGATTCAATTAAGTGCCGGAGATTAGGTGACCAATCAGGTTACTGTGACAACGGCAGTGGATCTCCCAGCTTACTTGGACTTATCCTTGGACAAACTACGCCGTTAGTCTCTTTCTCGATTCGTCCTGGAATTGCAGAGCCGTCTGAAAGCTGATGTGAAACAGATCCTGCATTTGTGTGCCAGCAGATTGCGATCCTCCTTCTTCTTCTTGTGACAGTCAATGTGTAAGACGGCCGGAAACTACATTTGTGACGACGACTAACTGGTGCTCGATAGTGCGCGTCCGGCCTGACTTGTTGCAATGGAGCCTGCACCGACCTTGACAACAGTCCAAGCAACTGTGGTACCTGTGGGAATACTGTGCGTCATCATCCGTTAATAGAGGTGCAATCACTGACCCCTGATGTTATAGTGCGCAGAAGGCGAGTCCTGCTGCAATGGAGCTTGTACTGACCTGCAAAATAGCCCGAGTAACTGTGGTACCTGTGGAAACACTGTGAGTTATCTTACCTTTCATACTTCTAGCATGTTTGCTATTGTGTCGATGGCCTGAATTATAACGGGACCAATTCTCACGTTTCGATAGTGCCCTGCTGGATCGGCTTGCTCATCTGGCACCTGCCAATGCACAACTTTCGAGGGCTTCCAGGACCAACTCACATTCCCCACGCGCAGTCCGGTTGCCGTTGCAGTGGCTGACTTCAATGGAGATGGTAACTTCGATGTCGTGGCAACGAATTTTAACGACAATTCTGTGGCTGTCTTGCTTGGGACTGGATCAGGGAGCTTTCAGCCACAGACCACATTCCCTGTGGGCTCTGGGCCACAAGGTGTCGCAGTAGGCGACTTCAACGGAGATGGCATTCTCGATATTGTGGCTTCAAATACCAACAGCAATTCCGTTAGTGTCTTGTTTGGGACTGGATCAGGGAGCTTCCAGCCACAGACCACATTCCCTGTGGGCCCCGGGCCACAGCGTGTTATAGTGGGCAACTTCAATGCAGATAGCAATCTTGATATCGTGGTTACAAATGGTGGGGGTGATACAGTGGGTATCCTACTCGGGACTGGATCAGGAAATTTCCAGCCTCAGACAGTATTCGATGTGGGATCTATTCCCGTTGGTATTGCTGCGGGTGACTTCAATGGAGATGGCTATCTCGATATTGCGGTTACTAATCTCAATCACAATACAGTGGGCATCTTACTCGGAACTGGATCAGGGAGCTTCCAGCCCCAGGTGACCTACGCCGTGGGTTCTGGGCCAGTTAGAATTGCAGTGGGAGACTTCAACGAAGATGACTATCTTGATATTGTGGTTTCAAATCGCAATGTCAATACAGTGGGCATCTTACTCGGAACTGGATCAGGGAGTTTCCAGCCCCAGGTGACCTACCCCGTGGGTTCTGGGCCGTTCGGAATTGCAGTGGGAGACTTCAACAGAGATAACCATCTCGATGTCGTGGCTACGAACATTAACGACGGCACAGTGAGTGTCTTGGTAGGAACTGGATCGGGGAGCTTCCTGCCTCACGAAACATTTCCTGTGGGGGCTGACCCAATTGGTGTTGCAACGGGCGACTTCAACGAGGATGGCTATGTCGATATTGTGGCTGGTAATTTCGGCAGCAATACACTAAGCCTCTTACTCGGGGAGCCTTGTGGGTCTTAGAATTGTCCCGGGTATTGTGGTCTGGTAATATGGGAAGATTGTCATACTCTTTGTGACAGGCTTTATTGATTAGTTATTTGGACACTGCTGCATCTTCGGATCCGGTCAAAGTCTTTAATGCAGTAATAATACTTTTCTCATTAGTGATACAAATTATCCTTCTATGTGCTCAGCGAGTGAATCAGACTACTTAGCTAGGTATCAGATGATACCCAGAAAAAGGATTAGGGCGTTAAGGTGATTATTACTGATCTGATCTTAGAGAAGACCGCTCAGAAGCGTTCTGGGTTCTGCTCAGCGAGCAGAAAGTGGTACACACACAATTCATCAACGCCCGGCGGCTGAACCGAAAGGGCAACTATCACTGATCTAAAAATACATCCCTTAGCTAATGCTGTGCCTCCTTGGAGCCCATACAAGATTCCTTTCAGTATATGTCATCTCGGCTGTCAATATCTTAGCGGGTCCTTGTGGGTTAGTCTTTAGTTAGTAGACTTGCTTGAAGGCGCTTCTCCAAGTGTTCAACATCCTATGCTCGGCAGTTGAAGCGCGTCTACCGTCTCTGGTACAAGGAAGATGGTGCGGGTTAGATTGGGGATGGGGTGGGATGGGGTTAATTTGTGTTGGTCGATATGGTTAAGCGGCGTCGAGTCGGCCCGTGGCGATTGCAAAGCGTATTGAGTATCGCACTGCTTCCAAATTCGGCTTCCAGTTCTGGTCATCCGAAGGCGATTTTCCGCCCAGGAAGAAAGATATGTTGCCTCGGTGAGTATGGGTACATTGCAGCATTTCTGTCCGGTGTGTGGTCCACTTCCGACATCGAAAGAGGAAGTGCTCCACGGTCTCTCTTGCTTGTCTACATGCACACTGATCTGTCTCTGCGACGTTGATCCGATAGAGGTATCCATTTAGTCCACCCATGCCAGTCCGTAGTTGAGCCAGCTCGCTCGCTTCTTTCCACGACAATGGATCGTACAGCAGTCGAGTGTGTTTCCCTGGAAGCGCTGCATCCACTCGTTTGGAATGTCTCCCTACGTTCTCTGGCAGGCCTTTGCTGGTTGCGGCCTGGGACCGTGCAATATTCAGTGTGGTTGACTTCATTCGGGGGACCTGTGTTTGTGGGGTAGCGTCCTCTTGCGTCGCGGCACGGGCCTGCTCTTTCGCTAGGCCTAGTAATTGATTATATTCGCTGGTCGGGACCTAACGGATATTGATGTCGTTCTCGTGCCTCTAGTCTCTTGATCAGCTTATATATTTGGCAGATGTGTTCCTGGCCTAACTATTGTCGAGGGTTCCTCAGCGTCAGAGCCGCCGCTTTGTTGCTCTTGAGAAGCGTGATTCTGTACTGTTTCAGTCCCGGTAGCGTGTTCAATGCATGTGCCATTGCTGCCAGCTCTCCGGAGTATGGATTCTGTTCTGCTCTGGTGCCCAGTGTGACGGAGAAAGTTTTCAGTTTCAGTTTTCGGAACCGAGGTGGCTGCTTCTCGATCGCGACTCCAAAACCTACCAGCTCGTTGCGTTCTTCGCATATGGGGGGCATCTGTATCGGTCTTGCTTTCTGACGCTACTGGTAGTGGGAACAACAATTCCATTTACCTGGGAGTCACACCTTTGGAGTAAGCTTCCCCTATAATAGCCCCTTTTTTCTGCATAATTGTCTTCAGTAACCATCAAAGAATTATGGGGTTCTTAAGAGATGAACCCGCCCCGCCCATATGGAGAAATACTTTCCACGTCTTCTTTTCAAATCTTTTGGAAAGATATGGTCGGGCTTGCGGAATATAGGATATCATAAGTTCATGATTCTCGGCTTTATCTACCCCTAGCAGTATGGACAAGTTAGATATACAACGGAGGGCCTAGGCTTCACTACGGAGAAGCCAAAGCAAGTAGCACGAATGTTGCCTCTGGTTGTATTTGCCAATGATGCATGACTGCTGTTTGGGAAAATCACGTACTCTACAGTTAAGTCAGGAAGTCGTCATTTTCGATGCGCGAATTCGCTTAGTTTAGCCTTCGATGTCTACTGTACTTTAATAAGAACTGTCAAGCTTGATGAATGAGCTCCACTTAAACTCTTGATGTGCTGTATAATGAGACAAAGAATCAAACATTTAGTAGTTGTGCCTCTTCAGTGATCCCTCATATAACCTCAGTGGCCATTCGATCCGATCTGATCCACTATGGAAAGGTAAGCCCCGGCCGGCATCATCAACTTTCGCAACTTGCTATACTGACCCTGTATACCTCTGTACGGTCCTCTGCAGCAACCCTGTTCCAACTAGCTGTCTCAAAGCCACTGAAAAACCTCTCCGCGCATACCAGAGTAGGCTTCACAGTGGGTCTTCTATCTGGTTGAAGACGTCCTTTTGTAGGACGCGTGTGGTACATGTACCACAGGATGGACTCTTTGATCATGGTAATATTGGGAACAGAAGATCCCTTCTCCAGCTTATTGCCAACTGGAACATTCCCGCTGTCAACAAGAAACCTGGGAGTCAGTAAACAAGAAAACCGAGAAAGCATATCGTGGCTACTCACCCAACCCAAAGCCCAACGTACCTCCGGTGAATCGCTTTGACACTGGCAGCACGTGGATTTTGTCTCTTGCTTGCTGAAAGTCCCGTGGTCCTAGAGGGAACGTGAACCGGTTATGGACTCCTTCCAATCAGGAGGGATACCAGTACAGCAATCGAGGGAATTCGAGTCGTTCTTAATACGACCGCGGTACGAATGAAGCGTATCTTTCAAAGTATGATGCTATCCCATTATTGAATTTCGTGATGACGTCATTTTCGACTGAAAAATGACAAGATGCAAGTGCTAGTTATGAATTCCAACGAAATTAGTACGCCCAGGTATCTAGGCTTTATCAGAATCGCTTGCCAAAATTTACGGTGAACAACTATTCCCGCAAGCAATGTCACGATGTTCCCATTATGACGTCTGGATGAGTACCAAATTGTGTCACATCTGTCTGATGAATAACGGGCTTATCCAACCAGATCCAGATAATTAGGCAGAGGGTGAAGGTTGGTAGTTAAACTGCGGTGTTACTGCTACAAGTCTAGATTATTTTATCTACTTTCCGCAGACGCCGTCGTAACTCCACATCACATGGGCCTATATCAAGCATCCGGTGCACCTTCCATTCACAGCGCCAAATAACTACAGCAGCACATGCAAGCCCCGTTTTGAACACACAATTCCAACCAAGCCAGAGATTGCATGATGGCTATCTTTACAAGTACGCTTCGACAACCAGCGAAAAATGGCACCCAGGATTATTCAGAAAATGCTCAAAAAAATTGCCGCTCTTTGCCTATTTATATCGGAGAGCTGCCATCAGAACTGCTCACGGAAATTGCAAAAATAACACTTTCGATTTAACAGGAGACACGTCGAAGACATGGAAAATTCCGCAGAATAGCTCAGTCAAATTTGATGACCTTGTCAAAAGAGATGCGTACCGCCATTGGAGCAGCTATGATTGTCATCACCCAGATGCTCGGGCTTTGTATGTCTCTGATTCCTTTGAACTATCAAGTCTGGATACGGACATAGATAGAGCCTATTGGTTTATGTCACCAGATGTCTTTTCACGCATACCGTGCTGCAATGAGCGATATATTGAGGAAGGGCCTGGCCATTTTCAGTATACATGAAACCTTTAGCGTGTTTTCCGAAGATTATCAGGGACTGGGATTTTTTCCTGGCTCGGTATCTTTCAAACGGCTACCGAATTGTTGCAGCGTCGCAAGTCCACCTGATCATTGGACTGGTTTCTGATGCAGTGATTGACAAAACGACCGGTACAGCTCCCTATAAACAGAAGCTTACCAGATTCCATTCAAAGCTAGTCCCAGATATCAGTGTCTATGAGTATATTGAGCGACTTTCGCAACTCGCCGAATTCTCATCGCGAAGTTACTCTGCCTCCAGCCAGCATTTGGTCTATCGAGCTTTAACTGTTCACAGATCACTGTTGAGCTGTGTGGCTGTGAGCGTTAAAGTACACAATGATTACCGGTGCTCCAAGAATTGTACGCAGAAGCTGGCAGTGTCCGCCCTGACAAGCTGACCATTTTGGAATTGGAACCACTTAAGCAACTAGCGTGGGATGTTATACCACGCGAAGAACACACAGTGACTCATACCTCTCCCTTCCCTATTATGCAATTATTATGTACATCGGCGCACCGGCAATCCATCACGTTTATCCTCTCGACAAGGTTCCTGATCCTCTTATTGTGAAAGAAGGGGAGAATAGGAAGAGACATAGCCTTGTTTTACTAGTGGCGTAAGATAATATATATATGGAATCCGAGATCCTGAGTGGCGAGGAAGTTTGCCTCTTCATTCTGGTGTCAAAAGATGACCAGTAGAATTCGAAAACAGTTTACCCCCAAAACACACATGCTTTCTCTCCCAGCGCCCCACCTCGATCGCGCTAAACTAAAATCGGCCAAGAACAATTCCACCGTTTTTCCTTCATGTATTTTCTGTAGATATCCAAAAGTACCGTAATTACAGTTTCCGGTACCGGGAAAATATTTCCCCGTAGCCATACATAGCCTAGCTTGAGTTTTAGCTTTACATCGATCGCAAGAGTTTTGTGGAACCCCCAGGCTTTTGCCCTTCTGAAACTCAAGAAGCTAGTTCACTGTGAATCCGATACTCTAGTAATCGATAGTACGCAGACTGAAGGCAAGTTCATCCGCTCACTTGACGTCGAACCTATCACCTAAATCTCTTCCTAGAAAAATCATGGAAATAAGTGAGCTCAATTCCAAGCTGAAAGATGTATTTGATATGGCCGTCTTCTCCCAATTATTGGAGATGGATGAGGAAGAAGACCGAAAGATTAGCTCAACGGCGCTCTATAGCTTCATTGAGAAGGGCGAAGAGCAGGTGGGCGTTATGGAGTACTACTTGTAAGCCCTCATACCCCATGCAAACTTGCCTAGGCCTTGTACCATAGTCAGAATGCACGACCCGGGTCCTTTTTTTGAGGTGAACTGGCATTCTAATGAATACATCCTTGTGGACAGGTCAAAAGAAGACTTCATTTCTCTAGTTTCTGTTAGCGAATCGCTTCAGCAATCCGCCGCAGCGATGGGTTTGTACAAAGTCCGCGAAAGCTGTGAAAATATTCGACGAGCCAGTGCAATAATGGATCGAGCTGGTCAGGTTGCAGAGGCAGTCAAGGTGGTCTTTCTTAGCTTCGTCAAGGAGGAAATTGGCACTTTAAGTGACACCGTACGGCATGCTCGCACAGCAATCGATTCATTTTATAGGGCAAACTAGCTAAAATACACAAGAGAAGCCGGGACCGCTGTCTGCTTTTTCTGGCTAATGCTCATTTCAATGACATTTTCCTCATAACAAATCCCTATGAACCGAAGAATAATTTTAAACTGGAAAGGCCACCAATCCCGAGTTTATTTGGACTGAGTATCTGTCGAGTGAGATATGAGGCGGATTCGAGAATAGGAAGGGAGACAGCGGGAGGGGGGAAACCTGGCTGGGACCCTCAAGTTGGACCCGCCAAGACGCCAAGGAGGGTCAGAAACTCGATCGGGTTCCACGACGCTCCTGGGTGTGATTTTAGGGTATAGGCATTTTTCTGCTTTGGAATCGTATATTATGCCATTTCTTTTGCATACGTGTCCTTGGCGAGTCGCGGGTCGAGGGTATAGAGCTCCGACCCCAGTTCCCCAGAGTCAGATCCAGCCCGGCCCCGGTCCCCTGGGTCCACAAAACCGATGCGATCGATGTAAAGCTACCAGTGCCGGAACCTGTAATTACGGTAATTTAGTTGCTCTACCAGAGATACATCAAGAAAAGATGGTGGGGCATTTTCCGGCCAATTTAAGTTTAGCGCAATCGGAGTGGGGCGTTGGGAAAGAAAGCGTGTGTGTCTGTGGGGTAATCTGTTTTCGAATTCTACTGTACGTTCAATATCAATGAACCTGCGTAAGCGATCGAATTTACCTATCTCTCTGAACGTCTATCCGACGAAGTCTCTTCAATTCACCATGTCTGTTGGGCAGACCAAGACAATACAGCCATATTTTACTCACAACCATATGATGAAACAACCTATCTTATCCACAAGCTTCTAGCCATCACAGAATGAATTGGAGCAAGATTGAAACTTCCACATTAGTATTACACAAGTTTTGACCAAATCCATATTGATCCAAGCGGGCCTACTAAACATACGAAGAAACGGTTCATGACTGAAACATACGTGTTTCGAACATACCTTCATGGAGTGTAAATTTCCGCAATTGTGGCTCGTCGTAATTTACTGTGGCTGTGCGGTCAAGCATCTGCCTTCAGTACAATACGGTACATACCGTGTAACGGAATTCCCACTCAAAACTACATAGAAATATATTACCGATCAAGGGGCCATCGGCCAAATATTCAGTCTATCCAGTCTCTTCAATCCAACCTCTAAGACAGGCTTCGAGACCAGTATATGATGACTAATCCGTGAGTATGCTTAGAGTATCAAATTCAGCAAATTCGCACTGCCGTGGTGAGCTGGGGCCATCATATCGACAATGCTAGCGTTATTTATCCTTGACAAAAGGGACAGTGAAGGGGAGGAGGTTGGAAATATTTTCATGCTGCGATACATAAGCATGCGATTATACAACTTGATTGCTGAGAATCTCACCCCCATAACTTCCGAAATGTCGCTGGAGTTTGTCTTGCCATGGATATGACCAGCTGTCTGGAGGATATACATGTAAGGCGAAAGGAAACTTGGAGAGAGTACTGTACCTCCCTGACACACCCTTTCAGATCAACGAAGTGGATTAATACCCCGCGTTCCCTTCTACATGCCTTTCTGGTTGTATTTTGTAGCATTTGTTGTTTTCACCACACCTGATTGCTGTGGAGTCGCTAATTTTTTTTTTTTTTTTCATGATGCCATCAAATAAATCCTTCCCCGCTATATTACACGTGCGCGATTTCGTCGAGCATGTTGAACCAGATCCAACGCGTCCGGGTAAAGGGATCTCGATGCAGTTACGTGTTTCGCTTAATATACCGTTCAAAGATATTGAATTAGACGATGTTGAGTCAAATGACATCCCCACTTTCATTAGATTCTTCAATGAGGGCAATCACTCTGATATTTACCAACCCAATACTTTTATTTACTCATCTGGAGCTTTTTTGACTACCTTATCTGAAGACGACGGATTCCACATTGTACTCCACGATCATAATTTGGACCGGTCGGTACATCTATACCATATCGACCAAAGTACTTTGCTAATACCATGCAGCCATCCGGGCGATCAAGAGGATACGGATTCATACTTTATGCACTGTCCCGGTGCTGCCCAGCCCATAGTGACTTTTCTCGGCGTCGTCCTTGAACGCAGAGGACAATTGAACGACGGACGGAATTTACTTCACTGTCGTCTTCAGACAACTGTTTACAACCCATCAACTCGTACGCCTCATACGTTTCCCATAACCGCTTTCTTTAAGAACGGGCAGCGTTTGGCAAACTTCCCACCGCTCTATGCCAACGCCTCTGTGTTTGTGACGGGTCGCATCTTTGGCCTCACAAAAGAGAATCGTCAGTTAGCTGTTGTGACAGATGACATCCATTTCCTGCCAACATCAACAAATAGTCTTCCGCCAACCCCTTCTTCTGCGTCCGGAAAAAGAAAACGCGTTGACCGCTGGTCCCAAAGGGCTGGACCAACAACACCGTCCAAATCCACGTCGGAATCGCATAACCCGCAGCTTGCAAAGCCCATGACAGCGAATACTCCTGTTGACGAAGACGAGGAAAGCACTCAGATTACGTGGGCTGACACGTTGGACGAACCCGAGAGATCACCACAAGCAAGCACCCCTACGCCAGAGAGACGTTCACAAAGGCCAAGGATTCGAAAACTTAGGCCATCTCGCATTGCGGGTATTAGTCATTCGGAAGACTTCTTTTCATTGGCTCGTTGAATTCATTCGCATTTCCACTTCATTCAAAACGCTTCAACGCTAACTTTAGCTTCCAATGCCTATTCCTCCTGACTTTCGTTTCAGGGCCGATGCGTGCAAAGCGCGCATCTTCCAGTAAATAATACTCAAATGGAGACGATGATTTGGGACTAAGCTAATTATGGAATAGGAGGGTTTCGGGTACGGGCCAAGAAACAATGTGTCTGTGTCCCAAGGGTAATCTGTTTTCGACTCTCACTGTACGAGCTGTTGAAATATAATCTTTCACACAGACGAAAACTTTCATCGGCGACGTATTCAAACGCAAAGGGCAGACTAGGGAACAAGGAGCCAATGACAATGGGAAGGACCTGTGTGATAGGATTTGACGGCAAGCAGCAGCTAGAAGGCGCAACCAATCTCTACTAGATCGACTCTCTTGGGCTTCTTAATGGTCTCCATGAAGATCTAGAACTGGCTGCCTCGATGGAAATCACTGCAAGACTGATTGGGTGCGAAGTCGGCTTGACCTATACACAATGAGTAACTCTTCCCTGGCCCGCCACCAAGGCTTTAGCGCAGTTAATCTATTGAGCAAGCCGCATCAAGGTGAGGCCCGCAGTATTATGCCATCAGTATTACGCCGCCACATACTACGGTGACCGTTAAGTTTATCGGTTAACGGTCAAAGAGTCGAATGTAACCACACGTGGCAGAATATAGGACTATACTGAAGTATTTTCCTCTTGCCCACCATTTCTTAATGCAACTTGCTCAATATTTTATCTGCGCTCAAGTCGCGGCGGTTGGTCCAAGGAAGAGTTGTTCAGAATACCTTCGCACTCCCATTCGGGAAACAATTTAGGTGGTAACACCAGTTTCCGGAAATACTGTAACGATCCCAATGGCGGTTTTAAGCACCGCAGGCCCCCCCCAGCAAGACACTCACGGTACCGTCGTTGGCATTTGTAGCCACGATATCGAGATAGCCATCTCCGTTCAAGTTACCGACTGCAACACCAAGCGGAAAAGACCCGACGGGGAATGTGGCCTGCGGCTGGAAGTTCCCCGATCCAGTCCCGAGCAAGACGCTCACTGAACTGCCGCCGCTATTCGTAGTCACGATATCGAGATAGCCATCTCCGTTCAAGTCGCCTACTGCAGCAAAGAACGGAAAGGACCCCACGGGGAATGTGGCCTGCGGCTGGAAGCTCCCTGATCCAGTCCCCAGCAAGACGCTCACTGAACTGCCGCCCTGATTTGCAGCCACGATGTCGAGATAGCCATCTCCGTTGAAATCACCCACTGCAACACCAAGCGGCTGGGGCCCCACGCCGAATGTGGCCTGCGGCTGGAAGCTCCCTGATCCAGTCCCGAGCAAGACGCTCACTGAATTACTGCCGTCGTTATTCGCAGCCACAATATCGAGATAGCCATCTTCGTTGAAGTCGCCCACTGCAACACCGAACGGCCTGGACCCCGCTGGGAATGTGGCCTGCGGCTGGAAGCTCCCTGATCCAGTCCCGAGCAAGACGCTCACTGTACCCCCGTTGACATTCGTAGTCACGATATCGAGATAGCCATCTTCGTTGAAGTCGCCCACTGCAGCACCAAGCGGAGTGGACCCGACGGGGAATGTGGCCTGCGGCTGGAAGTTCCCCGATCCAGTCCCGAGCAAGACGCTCACTGAATTGCCGTCGCTATTCGTAGCCACGATATCGAGATAGCTATCTCCATTGAAGTCACCCACTGCAACCCCGTACGGAAAGGACCCCACAGGGAATGTGGCCTGCGGCTGGAAGCTCCCTGATCCAGTCCCGAGCAAGACGCTCACTGAATTGTCGGCGGTATTCGCAGCCACGATATCGAGATAGCTATCTCCGTTAAAGTCGCCCAATGCTACAGACCTCGGCGCAGGCCCCAGGTCGAATGTGGCCTGCTCCTGGAAACTCGCGCATATGCAGGCGCCTGATGAACAAGTCGATTCAGCAGGGCACTATGAAGCGTGAGAATTGATCACGTTAGCAATAATCCACACAATAGCAAACCTCCTAGAAGTGTGAAGGTTAGGAGCAACTCACAGTGTTCCCACAACTTCCACAGTTGCTAGGAGTGTTCTGGAGGTTGGTGCAGGCTCCATTGCAGCAACTCTCACCTGCTGCGCACTATAATATCGAGTGTTAGTCATTTCGTCTCCATGAGTAACGGATAAGCACGCACAATGTTTCCACACGCGCCACAGCTACCGGGAGTGTTCTGAAGATCGGTGCAGGCTCCATTGCAACAAGTCAGGCCGGACGCGCACTATCGAGCACCAGTTAGTCGTCGTCACAAATGTAGTTTCCGGCCGTCTTACACATTGACTGTCACAAGAAGAAGAAGGAGGATCGCAATCTGCTGGCACACAAATGCAGGATCTGTTTCACATCAGCTTTCAGACGGCTCTGCAATTCCAGGACGAATCGAGAAAGAGACTAACGGCGTAGTTTGTCCAAGGATAAGTCCAAGTAAGCTGGGAGATCCACTGCCGTTGTCACAGTAACCTGATTGGTCACCTAATCTCCGGCACTTAATTGAATCAGTATGTCAGTATCATATAACCTCTACTGATATCCACGAATCTTACTTTAGCGTCACAAGCCGCCGGGTCACAGCCACTCCCACCCCCAACTCCAACCCCGATGTCCCCAATGTCACCACCCCCGGTGCTGATATTAACCCCACCACCATCCCCATTCCCAATATTGTTGCCCCCATGGGAAACCTTATCTCCACCTCTAGGCCCACCCCACTTTTCTAGAGCTTCTTCTC